TTTTGTGTATTTAAAAAGTCCTTTAACGTGATTCTTCATTGTGGATGGTTTTAATAGCAACTGTCATGGAGTTATTGAATGACGACAATATTGGTAAAGGTTATTGCTGGTCCGTGGAATAGTATCTGGTTCTCCCCCTTGGGGTTTGGTTATTAAATTAAATTGCTGTCTCGGGCATAAACACATGTACGTATATACACATTTATGTTTGTTGTAAGGTTCAATATTTTTTATTGTTGTTGTTTGCCTCTTCGATACACATCGAATGGCGGTTGACTCAGACTTTTCTACGTTCCCTCAATTTCTCATATCAGCAACAGTTTTGACCTCTCTTTTTCTCTTCTTGGGCGACGTATTGTTGTTGTTGTTGTAGCGGTTTGCTAACCCCGCTTAGGCACAGGATTGATCAGTCTAAGTCGCCGAGTTCATCTAATGGTGTTTCGACGGGGTTGGACCAGGGGGGTTAGATGAGTAGGTTTGAGGGGGCATGTGAAGAGGTGGTTAGTGTCGTGCGGAGACTCTCCACATGCAGGGCATACGTTGGGTATGCTGGGGTCTAGTCTGGATAGGTAGGAGTTTAACTCTCACGACAGCCGGTTCTACGCACCGAATTGACCCGAATTTTATCCGCCCAACGGCTGTCACCCTTTCGGCCACCTAACCCCGTTTAGGTCTACAGGTAACTTTAGTCTAAGGGCGACGTATTCGACGAAATGGTTGACGAAAAAATTTTAACACAAGAATAAATGTTTACACAAGAACTGGAAGGGCCTCTAAATAAGGTTCAGATTTAGGTGTGAGGTTTTTACGAGAACTTTGGGATTTTTACATCATCAAAGTCGAGAACCCTAGCAAAGGATTTTTTAGATATATAAATATAATTGGCGCTTTGTTACCGCTGAAGCGATTTTTCGAACGAGCTCCTACTCCAATTTGTGGTTTTGCGTGGTGATGTTTTTTTATGAGGAGCCTTTATTTCATGTCCGAAACACACTCGGAGGGATAGATATTCCTTGCCAAGAGGCGACCGCAATTAGAAAATTTAACTTATTTTTTATTTAAATTAATTTTCCATAACCTTTTGGATGTTGGTGGCACCGGGATTTGATGCTAACCCCTCGGCTACCGCGGTCGCCTGGTTTTATAGATGTTCAGCATGAACTATAAGTTGATAAGCTTTAGCAAGCAGACGTGCATATAAAAACTAGCTTTACCGGGCTTGCTTGAAGATATAGTAAATTGAGTTTCTTAAAATGTAACAAAGCCCAAACGGAACTAATCTTTTTCCACCAATCGAACTTCACAGTTCACAGGCGTCTATATTGAGTCAGTGACATTTGACATTTCTGTATTTGAATCGTAGGATTTCACATCCCTCCATCAGTTTCAGCAAAACTTGAAATCACAAGAAAACGTTTGGAAAGCCGACGATGTCATGGTATCCATAAGACATCAAGCTAATTTGGTCTTACAAGCAATACAACATAGTATAATGTCTCTGAGAGCAGTGAGCCGTACACATTGTTGTTTTATATCTTATCCCACCGACAGTTCCTAGGTCAAGTCTCATGTGATTCTCCGTTTTTCACCACACTTCAATATCTTACTTCGAACCTCACGTTTCAACATTTTTGTGTCAATATGTTAATTATCCTAGACCTCTTCATTTTCGACCATTCTCTTAATCAACTCTTCCCTCCTACAGCGCACTATCGATATTGTTTGCCAGAAAGAAGGTTCTGAATTTTTTCCCCACATACAAATCAGCAAAAATTTCATTTCGCGGCTCGTATCAATGCGGCACCATTCTCAAAAGGACGTTTCTAATCTTCCGCTGTTTTCTAGCAAGAAGAACAGACATTTATTTTAGCAAAGTGTGTCTGCATATCGCTTAATTTTTTCTCGTTAATAAAGAAATCATTTCCAACAACAAATCTCGTCAGCGAGTTTTCAATGATATTTTTTTTGTTTGGTTGCGTTTGCTTTGATTTTTGGTTCATGCTTTACCATAAAATCTGACATGGATGTGTTTATCTTTATGCTTTTGAATTTGTGTGTGTACGATGACTTAGCTAATATGAGGTATACAACTGTAACGTACTATTGGACCAACTCACGTCTTGCTACCAGCCTGTCGTTAGTCGATAATTGCTCGTGTTTTAACGATCGCAATAACAAAACGAAGCCCTAAGTGCGGAATAAGATTTCTACTAGTATACAGAAAATGTATGAAGCTGAGTGCGTTTGGTGAGCTCTGTTGGGCGTGCAGAAGATTGAGCTAATATGGAAAATAAATTATTAACGTTAACAATTAAATAAAATTTCATCGAATTGTATTCGAAACTAAAAAGCACCTATGTTCGAATGGGATTTTTTTTATATACTCCATAATGTAATACTCTGTGGGAACTCCATGGAGGAGTACTCGGATGTTATGCAGGGGTGGAGTGCGTATATGGTCCAGCCCTAGGACATCGCTATGTTAATTAGACTTACTATTTTCACTGATTGTGGTTAGTTTTGGTCTAATCTATTGTGTGCGTGGAGTGTGTATTTCGCGTCTGCATGAAGTCTGCGCGCTTTTCGTAGGGGATACTGCTAGCCGCTGCCGACCAACTGCGAAGCCACAACCACCGGCAACTCACTCTCCTAGTGCTACTGTGGCCACTATGCCTTATCCATTAGCGTGATTGTTTGCTCGCACTCGTTTGCGACTTATGCTGCGGCTTAGTCCGCAACAACAATAAAAACAACAACAGACGTATGCAATATTTAGTATGCAACAAAGCAAATGGTCGTAAACTCAGTGAGTCCATTCTTTGGCATCAACAAGCTGAGCCGAGCTAAAAGCTGTATTAAATGATTTTTTTGTTTTTGTTTGTTTTTTTTTTTGCCGACAAATCGAAAGCTTAGCAGAGCTTTAAAAGAGTTGTAAAGCTTAATAAACACACGCTTCGTTGGAAAAATGATAAGCGAGATTTTTTGTGCGAGCCTCCATGTTATGCGTTTAAATGTGCCATTAGTGTGCATCAGTTTTTATTAAAAATCTGTTGTGAAAAAGCAGGCATGAAACACTCCGAGAAGAAACGTTTTTCGTTCTTAGGTTAGATCAGATTAAATGTCTGACCCATCGGCGGCCACGGTAGCCGAACAGGAGAATTCAGAGCAGCAGCATTGAATACGAAGAGAAATCGGGAGAGTTGTCGAGAGAAAAGGAATGGTCAGTAGATCACCATTGAAGTAGAGACTTTAGGTTAGCATTGCGTACTGACTTTCGAAAGGCTAGGGCTCAAATCCCGGTGCCACTGTCATCCTAAAGCTAAGGAAAAATAATTTAAATAAAAAATTAAGTTAAATTTTCTAATTGCGGTCGACCCTCGGCAGGGAGTGTTCACCTCTCCGAATATATTTTGGATATGAAATAAAGGCTCCTCGTAGAAATACCATTAGCCGTTCGGAGGCGGCTTAGTATAAAGTGTAGATCTCTCAATTTGTTGGAAGAACATTATCGGTTACAAAGCGCCAATTACATTGAGTATTGCATATACGATATTACGCTCATAGTGTTGCCAGACAAATTGCATAGAAACAAGCGGCAATGCTACACTCTCTAATGTGTCTCTGTTATGAAGGACATTGCTGTTCTTTTCGCAAATTGAAGCTGTCATTTTTGTTGATTGGCCATCGCCGATTGAAGGCTCTGTAGCGTTTGCCGATCGAATGTTGGACACTCGCAGCTTGCGTGCTCTACTGTTGCCGCATACTTCCTTACATTTCCAGCACTTATTGTTCTCAATCAGACCTAGCTGTTAAGAGCCGTTTTTAGCGAGCTCGCCAAAGAAAAAAAAATACATGAGAATGGGGCGTGACAAGAACCGCTAAGGGTTTGTTACGGGAAAATTTTCTGGTGAACATTGTCACGATCTCTCACGCCACATTGGAGCTCTGGTTTCAGATATATGAATAAAATATCAGTTTCTTTAGCAAGCAGACGTGCATATAAAAACTAGCTTTACCGGGCTTGCTTGAAGATATAGTAAATTGAGTTTCTTAAAATGTAACAAAGCCCAAACGGAACTAANAAAAAAAATACATGAGAATGGGGCGTGACAAGAACCGGTAAGGGTTTGTTACGGGAAAATTTTCTGGTGTACATTGTCACGATCACTCACGCCACATTGGAGTTAGAGATCCTGATATTTTATTCATATCAGTTTATTTCGGTTTACCTAGTCCAAGAGACAACTTTTCATAAACCAACATCGCATTAATCAAGAAGTTCATGTAATGAAGTGATAAACATTACATGGATTTCTTGACTTTCTGCTCCCACGTACTCGTATTAGAACTTGAAGAAGCCTAAAGGCTGTATATTTCACTAAAAATAATCACAAACCTTGTTTTTCAATGTTTTTTTGTATTATTTGCAAAAAAAAAAATGAAAAATTATTGCTTTAAAAGGCTGTAGAAAACAAAACAATGCCATTTTACGTGGCATTGAGAAAATCACTTCAATACAACTAAGTTTTCTGACCGCTCACTAGTATTATTTATCTTGGTGATGCTTATTATTTGTTGTTGTTTTGCCATTTAAGCTTTTGCCTCTAAGCTGCTTAGCAAAATTTCATGTTGTGCATGTCTGCTTACAAGAAAAAAAAGAAAAATAGAGAAAATAGATGTGAAAGCGTTGATGCAAAATAATAAAATTTAAATATAAAAACCTACAAGAAAAAAAAATGTCTTATGAAAAGCCAATAAAAATGTTTAAAATGACAGCAATAATTTATTGTAAATTACTTAGAAAGGAGAATTATAAATATTTTTAGTAAAAGTTTTACTATCAGATTTTCTTAAATAAAGGGACATAAACAGATTTGCGCATATTACATTTTCAGAATTTGAAAAACCATTTGTATTTTCATCACACTCTCGCTACCGAAAATTCATTACACCCAAATGCATGCAATTGCTTTTAATTAATATGCAGTTTTTCGACTCACCTCGGTTAGAAACAGTTGCAACAAAGCCAGGAAGTTCTTGCTGTCTGCCAACACATATTTACTGTAATTCTTGAAACACGACTCAAGCAGATGAAAATCTCGCCAGTTGTACACAACCAAACGTCCATCACACATAGCGCGGCATACCAAGGCAAAGACAACGCTTGGATCCTGCAATAGCGTTGACTCAAAATTACAACCACTACTCTGTTTTTCCGCGGAGTCAACATCAAAACCTTCACCGCGTCTCTCCATTTGCTGAGCACAACGCTCACGCAAGAGTAACAAACCAACAACACGTTGCAACTCATTGGCAGCTACGAATTTCTCTAACATGCCCAGTACAACCTCCTTTTGTGTATCTAACTCTCGACTACTTGCCAGTAATGCTTCAGCAGCTGCAGCTGCTGCGGCTGCCTCTTCAGCGGCATGGCGACGTTGTTGCACGGGCGACCGTGTGACCGGGCTCTGGAAGGGTGCACGATAGTCTGCGAGCGTGTGTAGTGCTGCATTGCCGCCAACTGGTGGCATGAAGAAGATCTCGTAGGCGAGTGATTTGAGCGCGAGCACAGCACAGTCCAGTACTGCGTTGTTGGCTAGCAGATTGTTTGTGATGCTGATGATTTTTGGTATGGTTATAAGTTTGCGATCACTTTTGTGCGTCAGCAGGATGAGGAATTTTATCATTGGTGGAATGATAATTGAGCCGTTTCTGTGGGTAAAAAAGAAATACATTTTTATAGCTCGTATGCAAAGAAATAAATATTTTTCGAAGGCCATAGTATTTTTTATAAAATATTAAAGCGATAGATTATAATATATAGTTTAATTTAATTTAATTAAATAAATTTTTTATTCTGTTTTATCTTATTTCATTTCATTCTATTTCAATTAATTTTTTTTTCATTTATTTAATTTTATTTGATTTCATTTAATTTTATTTTTTTATTTAATTTAATTTAATTTAATTTTATTTTATTTTATTTTATTTTATTTTTTTATTTCATTTCATTTCATTTCATTTCATTT